CATAACCTGCTCCCATACACCACGCGGACTAACACCTTTAAAAATTCTTTCTTTCCCCGAACAATTATTCAGTGGAATAGCTTACCACCTGATGTCATTTCATCTGATGACTTCGAGAAAGCGTTGCTCGGAGCATCTCAACCGTGACATAAGCGCGCCTTCTCTGTACTGCTAGTGCTTAATATAATGTTTATACTCTGTATTCATGCAATATCACTTTTTCGGATTGTTGGTGCTCAGTACTTGTAATAGTTGACGCGTTTCCATGTGTATAAATTTGTCTGTACGTATGTGTATATTCTTTTTTTTTTTGTGCTTTAAGACATCACTCCATTTTTGCCATTATTTATTATTTATTTTTATATGGTCTGTTATATTTTTTTTTAAATTCATTGTATCATCCATTTTGTATTCTTGCAAATTTGATTATTCCTTTAATTTTTTTCTCGATGTTTGCATATTTGTCTATTGTAATGTTCCCCACCTGCTTGGTCTTCAGTGACCGCAGTATTTTCTAAATAAAAAATAAACCTGTTACGCCACTCACTGGATCCCGACGACTCGAAAACAGCCGCACGGCACAGACTTAAGCGACTTGTCCACCAACACCCCGGATCAGACGAAGATGTACTAACCGACCTGGCGGACAAATATATCGAACAAGCCCACCAACCAGCGACACCACTGCCACTCTATCAAGGTAAACCAAACCCAACTCTTGATGCCGATATCGCAAAAGCCGAAGTATATGCAGCCGTTTTAAAGCTTTGCACAACTTCGGCACCAGGTCCAGACGGCGTCTCTAACAAAACTATCCGCAACGTTGACGCAAGTTCAGTAACTGCCCTCACTGAATATTTCAACGTCTTCTGGCATGCCGGCAGTATACCAGAAGAATGGAAGCACGCGAAAGTAGTGTTTATACCAAAGCTCAGAAAAATGGCAGATTTATCAAATCATTGTCCCATTTCGTTAACTTCATGCCTTGGCAAACTTTTTGAGCACGTGGTCTTAGCTTGGCTAGAAACACTTGCAGAAGAGCAAGACCTTTTTCCTCCAACCATGCTCGGTTTTTGCGCCCGCTTATCTACTCAAGACGCCCTGGTATAAGTTTACCACGATTTATTAAAAGACCCTGTACGTGCGGGCACGCGAGCAATGCTAGGCATTGACTTACGCAAGGCGTTCAATAACGTGACACATCAAGCGATAGCCCAGCACTTGGCTTCAACAAACCCTGGGGAACGTATTTACAACTACATGTGCTCCTTCTTACAAGGCCACACTGTGGAACTTTTTCTGAATGACAGCAACGCCGCAAAGCGACTTGCCCTATCCAACAAAGGCACGCCACAGGGAGCCGTTCTTTCACCTTTCCTCTTCAACCTTGTAATGAGCCAACTCACACAGTTACTAGACTGCATACCCAACATCCGACACACCCTATATGCAGACGACATGACGGTATGGACTACTCCAACGCTCCGACGGAGAGATCGCGGGAGCACTGCGATGCGCCATGGACACAGTGGCCAAATACAGCATGGTCAGTGTCTCTGAATTCCGAGAAAACTGTACTGCTACGCATAAGCAATAAAAGACAACCTTTTTTATACACATATAAAATTAATGCTAACACCGTAGCAGAAGCCACGGAGTACAAATATTTGGGATTGACGATCTCCAACAAACTGACATGGTCCTCCCACATCGAAAATATCTGTAAAGCAGCTACTCGCAAACTTGGCCTACATAGGCACAGACTGAGAAACGCGCCCCTCGATGCAAAGCTTCTCGCCTACAAAACTTATGTTTTGCCTAAAGTTGAATACGCTAGCGTAATTTGGGATCCCCACTACAAAAAAGATAAGCATAGGCTCGAGATGGTACAGAAGCGAGCAGTAAGCTTCATATTCAACAAATATAAAAGAACAGATTCACCATCATCTTTAATGCTGGCAAATAAGATTCCAACCTTAGAGCAGAACAGGAAAACATGAAGACTTAAATTTTTATTTGTGCTTTGTCAGACTTAATGTGAATGCACGCGCATTTATTCAGCCATCTTTGTCACGTACATCGAGAAATCGACATGCACATAATTTACTTCCTTATCAAACGCGCACTAATCTTTTTAAGTACTCTTTTTTTCTGCGAACTTATTGCGCTACTAAAGTGCATTTGAAAGTGTGCTACTTATTGATTTGGAAATGCAGTGAACCAGTGAATGTTCATCGCTTTCGCTTTTGCATTTAGTTTTTTCACTACGTAATTTATTGATGCAGTGTTACTTCGTAATTTGCAAATACTGCATTTACGCACCCGACGTATTCCGGGAAGAGTTCTTTTTTATTTACTTTTATACTTCTTATAGTGTGCGTCACTTTCCTAAGAACTCTATTATTTTTTGTTATCCTGACAGGCTGCGCTGGTAATACTTCTAGATATGCCGTAAGATTGCTTTGTTTCCCTTTTCTGTGAGCTTGTGTGCTTTACGGCTCCATTTGTGCTTGTAAATTTGAAACTCTATATTTTCTCACCTGCATGGTCCTTTGTGACCGCAGTGTACTGTAAATAAAATTTAAAAAAATAAATACGTCGTGCGTGCGGGTCTCGAGTGCTCAGTGGAGATATCGAAACTCATCCTTCTTCGTCCTCCTAACTACCGTAAGGTTAAACATTCACCATTACCAACAACCACTCTCAGGATTGCCGGATCCGAAATACCAATAGTGCAGCACATGCGCGTTCTTGGTCTTCACGCACAAGCCGGCAGGAGCAATACCGTCGCACTAGAGAGGCTTGCGGTCACCGTCACTCAGACTGCCCATCTGTTAGGAAGAATCTCTGCATGGAAGAATCTCTGCGCGGAAACATGGCATGAAAGGAAAAAAACTTCTCCAGCTGTTAAATGCTTTCGTAGCCACTAGAATCACTTACACTTTATCGTACCTACGACTCCTCAAGGCTAAAAAAGAAAAAGTTGACAGACTTATTCGCACAGTCCACAAGATCGCCTTGGGCCTCCCCCGCACCACATCGACCACGCACATTCTCAGCCATGGAATTCACAATATAATAGATGAACTTATCGAAGCACACTGAACTGCACAAATTGAACGATTGCGTGGTAGTAAAACTGGAAGATGGATGCTCCAACGTATCGGCATTCCCTCGTCACCAAGCAGACAACACTTGGTCCCGCTACCACCACTCATCGAACAGCGCTTCATTGTACAGCTGTTGCCGAAGAACATGCTGGCCGGCATTCATGACGGTAGACGATCAGCCTACCAGAAACCTTCACAGGACCAGAAACCTTCATGCACCAGAAACCTTCACAGTACCTACAGTATGAACACTAAGGTGGCTCACGTTGACGCTGCAATATACCCAGCCCCAAACAGGCATATGCTATCAATGTCTCATCGAAACGTACCCCAGTCGATAAAGAGCCTACCACGATGTGTGCCGGCTCCATACGCACACAGGACCCAACCGAAATTGAAGAAGCTGCCATAGCACTCGCCGCAATAGCCAGATCTGAAACAATCATTAGTGACTCCAAATCTGCCATCACCCGATTTGCCCGTGGCACTGTTTCCCCAACCACGGCGCTAATACTCCGTCCTCTGCCCCAAGCGGCACGCAACGCCTCAGACAACACTTCCACCAGCAGCGACGATGAGGATCCCCGTTTTATTCAACTCATCTGGGTCCCAGCGCACGCAGGAAACCCGGGTAACGAAGCCACCCACAGAGACAAGCTCGAGGACTCGCACGACGAGCAGTGGGCCAGACTTCGAACCACAATACCGAAGCAACCGAACCACTCATCACCTTTCGCGACATCACGCAGTACTACAAGCTATCAAGGCAAACCAGACCACCCCTACACCCGGAACTAAACAAAGCTCAACAAATCACTTGGCGGCGGCTTCAAACGAACTCATTCCCTTCCCCGTACATATACAGACACTTATACCCAGCCTTATTCACATCTACGTGCACCCTTTGCAGGACACAGGCGGCAACCTTAAACCACATCATCTGGGGATGCAGCAAGGACGCTCCTCCACTGAACCACCTAGGACAGTCACCTTCAAGTAAGGCCTGGGAGAGAATCCTCACAACTACAAGCCTGGACACCCAGCTCCGGGCCATCAAACGCGCTGACGAAGTGGTGACCAGGCATGGCCTGACAGCCCTCGCCACTTAGGAAACCGTCAGCTGCCTTAATAAAGTTGTTTACTACTACTACATTGCTAAGCGGATAGAAAGCAATTTTAGGCATTTTTGGACTAGTATTTTATTGCAAATTAAGTGCAATAATATTTGGCTTACATGTTCACAGCAGCTTTGACTGCTGATCAACAACGTTTCGAGACCACAGTCCAAAATTGTTGCAGAGTGCCTTGAGCGATTATCGAAGAAATGAGTCCGATGTGTGGCATGGTTATAAGTATTGCACGATCGTTTTTAACTCATTAAAAGAACAAGCTCATACTGTGTGGGTTTTAATCAACTTGAACCTAGATATAACAAATATGGGTATAATCAATTATTGGCCATAATGAAGGTATAGCATGGCCATAAAGACAGTATATTCTCCCCGTTCTCGTCACTTGCTTGTCACATCTGGTTCTGGTGCACTGGGTGCCATCAGTTTCAATTTTGCCCTTGATCACGAATGTCTCCAATTACTTTCAAGTATTTTAAAGAATGGGTATGCCATGAATTGCACCGCACTACAACTTTCTATTCTGAACAACTGCCTCCAATTCGACGATTAAAAGTTGATGAATGTGTTTATATTAATTAGTCCTGACAGTGTCATTTTAGATGCAGCAAAGTATTTCCACCCTAGCAAACAGTAATAACTCCAGAATGACTGTCATAAAACTTTATTTTTTTTTGTTCTCTAAGGAATGCCTCGTATAACAATGCTATTTTCATGTCGGGTAGCCTTTGTTACAGCAGCAATGGTGTTGATCGTGCAGGCAGTGGCAGTGATGCTGCCTCGCTGGTCACCACGGCCAAGAGGGATGGGGACGACTACGTCCTGAATGGCACCAAGGCGTTTGTCAGTGGCTCAGGAGCAAGTGATGTGTACGTGGTGATGTGCCGAACCGGTGGCTCAGGTGCGAAAGGCATCTCTACCATTGTTGTCGAGAAAGGAACTCCAGGCCTGAGCTTTGGCAAAAAGGAAAAAAAGGTTGGTGAAATTTGAAGCAATGATTAGTGCCAAAACAGTGTGCAACAAAGTACTCCCAGATAAGACGAAGATGCGCTCTTTTCCGAAGGAATATTTTTTAAGATAAAAAATTGCTTAACCGAATATCGGCAGCCATGGGCCCTGCAAGACAGCATTTGATCCACCATAGGCAAGGATTCATTCTCATGGGGCAGCCACTTTATTGTTTGGGAATTTTTTTATTCTTCTTTTACATTGCACCCCCTGCCATCATTTAAACTCATTGCAGTCACCCTATAGCCCGTGCAATCAATATCTATGCACACAGCAGCTTTTAATATAATTCATTAAACTTACATTTGAGGACCCTAAAAGTGATGCATGTTAGGGGGCAGTTGCATGGTATTTTTTAAAAGTTTTGCACATTAAAGAAATGCTGAAAAGAAAACTAAGTAGGGCAGTTAGCACGGACAAAATCTGATGTTTCTGAACCCCTATTAAAAGTTTTGTAAGATTTTTTCTGTCAGAGTTAAGTATTTAGGAGAATCGATCTTTGTTAATTATTGAGATTAGCTGATTGGAGAAAATATCATAACATGCGCTATATGGCCTAGAACAACACTGGTCAAATTCAAGAGGCTTAGTGCCTGTGCTTTTTTTTTTAGTACTGAGCTCTAGTTAGCTAAAAGACCATGTATACTCTTGCCTCAAGCTTAAATGTGTATACAGAACAGTTTCTTCCTAAGTATATAGCTATTACTTTTTGGATATAATGGCAGCTGATTTATTAAACTCGTTAATGCAATGATGTCAGCTGTTTCTTATTTTCAATAATGTAGGACTATTGAAGTGCTCACTTCATTACAGCCGAGCGTTTCCTAAGTAAAACTGGGTAGCACTCGTTATGGTTGCTTTTGTGCACAAGCTGTCTGAAGATTTGCTTTCGCACTCCTTGATTGTGTGTCAGGGCTCAGCCATCTAAGCTCTGTAGTTTGCACTTCACTCGTTCCACGCCAAACATCCCAGCCGTTTGGCGAACATCTCAATTGTATGTGAAAAAAATTGTGCTTTAAAGTACCACTTTCTATACCAAATTTGGTCTATATGTTAAGTAAAGGTTCTTGTGCAAGGTGTTTGGAGCTCAGTAATATTAGTGCAATTTTACTGGCACATATGCCTCCAAGAATTTATCCAAAATGTGTTATGTTTGTATTTTTCTCTATTAGAATACTGCACTGTGTATGAATATGTGAGTAGTGAATACTTACTCCACAAAAGGTATATTTTGAGTACAAAATATTTTTAGACCTCTTAAGCTGCTAAACTTTATGGGAAAAAATTACAAGTTTCATAAAATCATCATTTTTGCCTATATTGAGATGCTATTGGCACCGTCTGATGGTCCAATTAAAAATCACCGTTATACCTAAATCAAAAGCAAATAAACAATTCTTTTCATACGGTAACTTGTATCATTATATTTTTTGTAAGAAAAAAATCATTTTTGAACGTTCTCATTGGCGCCTATCTTCCCATTTGGTCATGCGACAGTAGCCGCCTTGAAATTCCCCATTGCCGTCAATGAGAAAGCTCAAAAATTTTCTTCCTTAAAACAAATAATGTAATGTACAATTTGCCATATGAAAAGAACTGTTTATTTGCTTTTGATGTAGGTATAAAGGTGATTTTTAATTGGACCACCACATCGTGCCAATAGCATCTTAAAACGGGCAAAATTGATGATTTTGTGAAATTTATTTTTTTCTCATAAGGTTTAGCAGCTTGAGATGTCTAAAAATATTTTTTCCTCAAAATATACCTTTTGTGGAGTGAGTATTCAATACTGTTACGAGCCGCGTCGGTGGCCGCAGCGGACCCAGTTGGTAGCGTGGAGCTGGGTGGTGGTCGTCATTCCGCAGGCCACGGGGACGTTCAGAACCCTCGAGAGCTGAGGCAGAGGGACAGGCGTAAAGGAAAACTTAACAAGACATTTATTTGCAACATGTTGGACAGTAACGTCCAAACGACGACTCTTCTCGCGACACTCTCCTGTTTTCTTCTGGCGGGCTGCTCCCCTGCCTCGCCGTGCAGTTCCGTAGATATAGGCGGAATGTCTCTTCGGGGAACCAATTACTCATGGAGAGCACAACACAAGTGTCCCTTCACACACGTGACAGACGCACGTGGCACATGCGCGGGGACTCGGAAGCGACCACGCAGGAGAAATTCACGGCAGTCCCTCCTGTAGCACACAACCGGCCTTCCGCACATTCCAGAGGGGCCCGCTTGTAGCCACTGCCCCGCAGGCAAAGCGCACAGCCGAGACAAACAGAGCCGGTGCAGGTGACAACCCGCCCCCACACAGAATGTCCGAGATGACGGGAAGGCACGCTTGGGGGCATCCGGCCCAAGGACTTTGTTACTGCTTTGTAACAATACGAACAAATTCATACAAAGTGCAGTATTCTAACAGAAAAAAATTAAAACATAACACATTTTGGCTAAATTCTTCGAGGTGTATGTGCCAGTAAAATTGCACTAATATTAGTGAGCTTCAAACACTTTGAACAAGAACCTTTACTTAACATGTAGACCAAATTTGGTATAGAAAGTAGGAGCGGCGTTTTTAAAATAAATTCTTCCACAAACGACACCCAAACGACATTCCGGGAAATTCAGAAGGCAGCCACGTGACCAAAAATTTTTTTATCTCGGAAATATTCTGTCGTTTCACTGTTTTCAATGCAGTAAATCAGCATAATTTTTTCTAAGTACTATCGACGTCAAAGGAAACCCGAACAGCGGCGAGCCTTCATGATGGTATAGTGCGTGCCGTCCACTTATCACCATGGACAGGCACACACTTATGCGCAGAGATGCCGGACAGGATGCGCGCACTTGTCCGTGGTGATAAGTTAACGGCACGCACTATACTATTGCGAAAGCTGGCCGCTGTTCGAGTTTGATTTGACGCCGATAGTACATTTGAGATGGTCGCCAAAATTGCTGGCACATTTGGCATGGCATGACTCTACTACAAGGAACGGGCGTAGTCTTTGATAGCTTGTTCGTCAGAGCCTCTGTGTGTGTGTGTGTGTTTGGTGTTGACTCTCTCTGTCGCAGCTCGGGTGGAACACGCAGCCGACTAGGGCAGTGATCTTCGAAGACTGTCGAGTGCCGGTCTCCAACCGGCTTGGCGAGGAGGGTCAGGGCTTTTCCTTTGCCATGCTGGGACTCAATGGCGGACGCGTAAATATTGGTGAGCATTCTCTTTCATGCAATAAAGTCCTATTGTGGAAGGCTCTCTTCTGGCGTGCATTGTTTGCTGAGTTGCCACCTTGCGTGAAACATGTATTGTCCACTGTGCTAGTTTAGCTGCATTTGTCTGCTCAAGAAAACATGCACAGTTCTGATGGTTTCTCAGTGCCTTGCACTGGCCTGTAAAGGTACAATGTAGTCACACACTAGAATGAACATTAGCAAGTGGTGCATGTAAAAAAATATGCCATTTTTTTCTTTATTTTTTTTTTTTGTTGACCATCCGGTATTGGAACTTGCCACACCTCCTTTTACAGCGAAAGCTGTTATGAGATCACAAGGGTGGCGTGCGCCGGAGTTGTGATTACGAACACCGCCGGCGGTCGTAACCACTATCGCACAAAACAAGATAAAAGAAAAACTAAGTAAATAAAAACACCTTAGGACCCAATGGGATTCCAACCTGGGTCCCCTGTGTTCAAGCCCAGTATCCTACTACTGAGCCACACTGGTGCTTGAACGTGTGTTGCAAACTCGCCTTAGGCTGGCTTGATGTTGGGAAAGTAATCACGGTAATATGAGTAATAAAGCGTTCAGAACAACGAAGGAACAATCAGGCATTACACAATGTAAATTGTGTAACGAGTGGGTTGTCAAATGCTGTAACCCATTACAAAAGCTTCAGGCATAATTCTTCATCATTGTGAGCCACTGCATAAAAAAATTGCATAAAATTCTTTGCAAATGTGTAGCGGGTATCATGCTTCTTCAAAGAATGACGAAGGATAGCATAAGGAATGTCAAAGGATGAATAGTGAATACACAAAAGTGATGATGATTTATGGTGAGCAGGTACCCTGCAGGTGTGCTTGTAGCAATTACCCAAAGAGTGTCTAAGAAAGGCTCTCTAAGGCCGCTCTTCCAGCTTTTGCTGAGACTGTGCTACGCATTTCATGCAGGCCAGGCGGTATTTTGCCATTACTGTGCTTGACTACGTCTGCAAGCTGCAGTGCCTGCAATGTTTCATGGACATGTAGACTTGTCATAAAGTTTAAATTAGCCTAGACTTACTTGCCAGCTAATGGTATCTGATTATGTATATTATTCTACCAGACCTAACTGCCACTGTTTCCATGTGTAACTTTAATGAAGTGCGTGATAACTGTTGCCAAGTCTTGTAGTTCACATTTCCACTTTTGCCGTATTTTCGTTGAACGACCAGTTCAAATGCAACCCATTGAAGCATCTGTTTTGCCTAAGAAGCCGTCACTGTTGGGCAGTGGTTTGTGAATAGGGGTCCCTGGAGACGCCAGGAAAGATATCTTCGCAGGGCTATGAAACATATGGTGGGGGGCTGGGAGCTCGTTTTTCAATTATTGTATGCACCGTGATGCCTTTGCACTGCAGCGGAGCTGTATCTTTTTCTTCATGAGGTGGCAGCAACGCTTTCATTGCAGTGTTCTATGGCATTGCATGCTTTTTTGCAGGCTGGGAAAGCAAGCGTAGCTCAAAACAACTTGATTATAGCTGCAGACCGTAGAATTGAACGGCAAGCTGTTGAGATTGAATTCGCGTGGTATTTTAGTGTGACTATTCTTTGCTAAAGTAAAAATAAAAAGGACCTATTTCACGCAAGTTGCAGTTATTGGTGACTTCCACTTTCTTTCACTGTAAGGCGCCTCGATTGTTTCTATTGGTCCACAAGGTGTTCCCAAAACATCCATGGCTGAGAACCACTGCTGTGGGGAATACCAAGCAATATACTATAGACATCCCAATGCTTGCTGAGAATTAAGAGGCATGTGATGAACGGTTATCCTATTGCTAAGAATTTTTCTTTTTTTTTTGGTGGCAATAAAGAAAACACCTAGACAGTTTCGATCACTTTATATGAATGCAAAGAGGTCCAAGTTGCTTTGGTATATTATTCATCTAAAACCATAAACAATGCATAACTTTTTTCCTAGTTTTTACTTGCAGTGATGGAAGTAACTTTTTACACTTAAAAACAGCTTCTGGAGCAGAAAAAGTACTGCTTTGGAGCAGCGTTACGAGTTTTTGTAGTAGGAGAAATGCTAGATTGGGAAATGTGTTTTAGGAGAAGATAACAAAATATGCAATACTTTTTCTGGAATTCAAAGCATCACGTCTCATAAAATGTTAATACTTTTTTGTAAATGATGTTTCACAGCCAACAATGAATATAAATTCCAAGAGACCACCAAATTAAAAAATTTAGCTCTTTATTAAATATTTAAATTACTGCTGCTGCTGAGGTACTGTGAACTGATTGATTGTACTAGTGCCATCCTAGCAATCGATCTCCACATTTATATGCAGCGTCTTGTTCTGTGGGAGCTGCGGCTGCTAGCATTGACATTGTGGCTGAACATCTGAAGGTTCGCAAGCAGTTTGGAAAGCCCCTCGCCTCTTACCAGGTACCCTTCTTGATCCTTCAGAGATCACCATAGGTCAGCAAAACTTGTGGAGCACACTCAGCCTCACTCATCCAATATATATTGAGCTTTGGACTCACTCGGACTGACACTCACGAAAATTTTCCTGAGCCGGACTCACACTTCCAAAATTTTCTTCAGCCGGACTCACTCGGACTCAAACTCGCCAAAACATTAGTCACCTGCACTCATTCAGACTCAGTTGCCACCAGAGACAGGCTCGGAGTTTGTGTGGGTCGACTCATGAGTCCGTCAGCCTAAAATTACTTTTTTCGATCGTGGGGTCAATACAATTTAACACCAATATCTCACGTAATCAGTGCTCTTCTTGGGGCCTTTTGACATAGTATCTTAAAAAACAAGTTCTGAGTGCTTGTAAACCAGTAAGGTCATTTTTCTTGGAAGAGGTGCCAGCATAAGATATAATAATCAAGAAATTTCCTACAAGAGCTTGGGGGGGTGGGGGAGACCCCTGTGTAATTACCCCCTGCAGAATTCATGCTTCTAATTAATAAATATTGAAAAGCTGTATGAACAACAGTGTTTCAAGTACCTGTGACTAGGTGTGAGGATTAATCAAGAATCCAATGACTAGATAGGACTTTAAATCGACAAAAGAAAGTGGAACTCACTCGGACTCACACCCACAAAAATTTTCTTCGACTGGACTTTCATGCACTCAGACTCACGAAAAATATTACTCGCCCAGACTCGTGGCTCAATCTGAGTCTCTGTGAGTGAGTCGACTAATGAGTGAGTTCGTCGGCCTATGGATATGTCATTAATAGATATGCTCTTACTGTGCTGCATTTATCACTTGTAAAGGCTGCACTTGCCCTCCCATTTGTGCTTCTGTGCCATATAATCTGTTCAGCTTTCTTAGTTATCACTCATTTGTATGGGTGTGCTAATATTTGAAATTTGGAATTTTTTCTCATAGTGCTTGCTATTTGGTTCAATTTGCAGCAAAATTTTACCTATCGAAATTTTGGAACTCCTTATGAAACATACAGTCAGAGTCTCATTGGCAGTGGCCCTCTCAGATTTTCAAAATGTTTCACCCCACTGCGCTCTGGTAGAGCGGCAAAGCTGCTATGGCCTCAAATGTGTTGACTGAAGAAAACAATGGTTCCCACATGGAGGTGATAGATAGAGTACAGGTTGGTACTAAATTAATGCAGTTTTAGACCCCTAATTTGGGCAGAAAGTCCATAAAATCAGACACTGAAGATTTTAGCATCCAGTATTTGAGATGTTCTTATATGTTGGCATCTACGAGGCATATTTGGAACTCTGAGCTTGAAGAGGCCACATAAGTTGGGCTTCCACGGAAGTTGAAAGAGGCGGAGAGGCTGAGGAAATACATAAGATCTTGTCTCTCACATGTAAAGTGTTGTCGGCTATACTTTGGTTGCACCAAATCACGTACAGAAATACAATTCAGCCTCATAATCTCATTCTGGACAAGGCAGCAATGAAACATCACCCCACCAGCACTTCGTCTATCTTGTTGCCAGCTCATGAGTGTATGCTCAGATTCACATGATTTTTTAACGTACAAATGTACTGGGAGGCCAAGGAACGTCAGCAGAACGAAGAACGTCAACAGGCCCACATCCAAGCAAACGCAAGCTCGGGTCACGCGCATGTATCATCAACACTGTGGCTTGCCTTGCTGGCTTCTTTGTCGTCGTCTCGCATTGTTACCTACATTAGTCCCCGGTGAAGAGCATAGCCATCCTGGCGACTTAAGGCGTAGTCATTATAGCGGGGTGATAATATGGCTTCAGAAGACTAACATGTACAATATCTCTACCACGACGACGTAAGTCATCAGACAGCGTCACAGGCTCTATCTCATAATTTCCTGGTGACGTACGGGCGAGGATGCGGTAGGGCCTGTGGTATCGGTCTAGTAATTTCAAAGAAAGGCCAGGAGTACTCAGTGGAATCCAGAGCCAAACGAGGGCACCAGTCATGAAAGTAAGAAGAGGTTGGTCAGTGTCGTGCCCCAGCTTCTGGTGGCCTTGGTTCTTGGTTGTCAGGGAACGGGCCAATTGCGTGCAATCTTCGGCGTACCTGGCAACATCAGAAATGGTGGTGTACTCAGATGAGTCAGGCGTGTAGGGGAGGATGTAATTTCAAAGAAAGGCCAGGAGTACTCAGTGAAATCCAGAGCCAAACGAGGGCACCAGTCATGAAAGTAGGAAGAGGTTGGTCGGTGTTGTGCCCCAGCTTCTGGTGGCCTTGGTTCTTGGTTGTCAGGGAACGGGCCAATTGCGTGCAATCTTCGGCATACCTGGCAACATCAAAAATGGTGGTGTACTCAGATTAGTCAGGCGTGTAGGGGAGGATAGTGTCCAGCGTGTATGACGGTTCACGTCCGTACAGGAGAAAGGGGAAAACTCTGTGGTCGCATGCGTAGCGGTATTATATGCATACATGACGAATGGAAGGGCAGTGTCCCAATTGGTCGGGTCTGAAGCTGTGTACATTGTCAACATATCACCGACAGTGCGATTAAATCGTTCTATGAGGCCATTCGTTTGCGGGACTGCAATCGGGGTTGTAGACACGACATGAGACGGCACAGCAATCGCGGTTGTAGGCACACATGGGACGGCATGGCAGGTTGAGCATAAGGAATACGCTGTTGCATAGGCCGAGCAGGGATGGCGGCATACATCGGAGGCGCAGTGACAGGTAGTTGCCGATGCATCGGTGGGAGGGCCTAAGCAACTTGGGTCCGAATGGCGTGTTGAAGGTCCGGAGCTAAAGCATGTGCGGGTTCATGTGTCAGTGGCAGGAGTGACAGCTGGCACACTACCTCTTTGCGGATGAAGTCCTTGATTGTCAAAAAGAGTGACTGCTGATTGGTAGGATGGGCAGCTAGCTGCAAGCTTGTGAGCGTGTTGGACGTCGTGTGGTCTTGATGAGCAATTGCTCGCAGCCTACGCAACTCGTCGAAGCTCTGACAGAGGGTGAAGAGTAAAGCGATTGTGGGGGATTTCCTGCGAGCAACATCGGAAAGGCGCCTTGCTCAATACCTTTCAAAATGTGTCTGATGTTTTCTTCCTCAGGCATGGCAGAGTTAACGCGGTTGCGTAGATGCAACACATCTTCTATGTAGCCCCTGTAGTTCTCGCCTGGTTGCTGCACGCGTTGACGCAAACGCTGCTCAGTGAGAAGCTTGCCAGCTGCAGGTCGTCCAAAGACTTCCGCAATCATAGGTGTATCAGCCGGGGCAGAAAGGGAAGCGCTAGCCCCCTCACTGAGAAAAGTTGAGGAGGCTGAGGCCCCCCCCCCCCCCCCCCCCCCCCCCCCTTTTCGACAGTGCACCATGGTCACTCTTGGCTGCACATTTGGGAAACTAACAAGCTAGGTGAAGTTTTCTGTCACAACAGTTATTGCTCAATTTCGTTCTTACGGAAGAATGAAAATGTTACGAGGCAATGTTACTAGAGAGCAAATTTTCGAACATTTCCGTTGAGATGATTTTCTTTATAGGCTCTTTCTGGTGCGGGCCACGTGCGCAACGCTTTCGCGTCTTGTGCTCTAGTATTGCAGAGCAGGCTAGCACTGAACAGGGGCCCTATAATAATGCATGACTTGTCCACAATTTTATTCTGCTGTTACTTGTTGATGCAGTTATGGATGGTAACGAGCAAACTATTTATGGACCGGTGAAAGCATTTGCTGGTTCCGGAAGATAATTTTCTTAGAAAAGGATATACCACCACTGCTCCTCTGTCAAAGTGGTTCCTAGCCTATGAGTGTGACGAATCGTTTTTGATGTTTTAAGTTTTTCTGTACTGAAAGGCCAAAAATGTTTTCTGTTCTAGTCTCCGATAAGCCTAATTAGCCTTGCTTATGGCAACTTGGAGCCATTACAACAGCTTGCAAAGAGTCCACGAATAAAGCAGTGGACTGGTGCTCAGTAGGAAGCTCAGCTTTTAAGCTTGCCCCACAAATTGACCCGCCGGACCAAGGAGAAGGATAAATACCATGGTTTTTAGTATTATGGAGGCTTAGTTAAAAATCGGGCTAGTTGGTTTTCACTCAACTTGAATTGACCTTTACAGCTCAAAATATATCTCGTACAGCAAAAAAGAAGCACACACGTGCAGCGCTGATTATTTTTTTCAATTTAAATTCAATATTGATACGGGGATTACAAATACACGGAAGATAGAAAGGAGTGTATTTGCAATATTTACAGATAGGTGTGACACCTCAGGGTTGCTAGGATCTCGCGCGCTGAATCCGCTTCTTTTTCATCGATGCGTCTACGACGGTGCAGAGCCATGCCCATTACCTCGTAATATCACCCGCGGCGGACGAAGCGCTGTCACGGTGCCGCTAAGTCAATCAGGACTGGCAGTGTAGTAGCATTTTAGTCGCGACACATGGGCAACATCAGTAGGTGTTGTGGCAGAAGATGAAGGCGGTTCAACGGGAGTGATGAGGTAGTCGACGTCACTGACCTTGCGGAGAACTTTGTAGGGCCCGGTGTATCATGGAAGGTGCTTCTCGCACAAGCCTTCACGCCGATGCGGCGTCCAAAGTAGGACGAGAGGGTCAGCAGGGTAGTCAACATTGCAGTGCCAGCCATCGTAGCAGACTTTTTGTGAGGCCTGAGAAGCAGTGAGCCTAGTGTGCGCGATTTGGCGAGCGATGCGGACTCGAGAAGTAACGTCCTGAGCATACACCGTTGGTTCGGTAGTATCAGAAGGAAGGAGTGTCTCGAACGGCAAGGCAGGGTTGCGGCTGTACAGAAGAAAGAACGGAGAATAGCCGGCGGTGTCATGCCTTGATGAATTGTACGCAAGCGTAACGTAGGGGAGCATTGCGTCCCAGTCACGGTGATCAGCAGAGACGTTCATGAACAACATGTCTGTAAGAGTTCGGTTGAGGAGCTCTGTGAGACCGTTAGTCTGGGGATGGCAGGCAGTGGTAAGGTGATGTTTGGTAGAGCAGCTACG